GACAGAAATCCAGGTGTTTGGTTTCATGAAGATGGCTCAGGAAAACTTTCTATTTTTGCTGCTGTAAGCGGTAATGTTAACTATTATGTAGAAACTACTTCACTTCCTTTGAATGCATGGTCCTACCTTAAAATATATCAAATTTTTATGGATGGAAAGTATTGGTTTTCTGTTGATTTGAATGGAATCAATATTCATAGAGTAGAAAATATTGATGCGAGGGATTTCAAAACTCTGAAGGTTTATGCCTCTGATCTTTGGTATGCTTCTCAAGAAGGATTGATTAGTGACCTTTTAATAATTAATGGAAAAGCTGGTAACAATTTGCTTTTTTTAACTAGCTTTTTTAAAAAATTTTTTTTAAATGTGTTTTGATGTCTTAATTGTTCATCTTTAAATTAACTTATGCATTTTAAATATATCTACAACTAAAATAATGACATAACAATTTTTTCTACAGTGATTGTAAAGTTTTCCTTTGACCAGAGGGTTTTAAAGAAAATATTTAATAAAGTTTTTATTTTTACAGAAAGTTAGGTGTGTTGTTATTTCTTTATTCATATTTCTTATGTTGTAGAGTATATAGTTGGTAATATGCATACTCCATTAATTAGAGGAAAAATTGTTGCTGAAATACCAAAGCTAGATAAAGAATATTTAATTTCGTTTGATGTTAATCCTAATAAATTTGTTGTTGGTTGGCATAGTGTTATTCATTTCACTACTGGGTCTGATGGTGATAGAGTTCCAGGCATCTGGTTCCACGAAGATGGTAATGGAGGTCTTCATATTGCAGCAGCAATTAATGGAAATACCAACAGATATTTTAACACAAAACCGATTGGAATAAATAAGTGGTCCAACATAGAGATATCTCAAACTTTAAAAGGTGCAGTATATGTATACACAATCAAAATTAATGAAGAAATGGTCTTTTCTGAAATAAACAATCAAGCTCAATACTTTGATAACGTGAAAGTATATGCCTCAGATCCATGGTATGAAGTTCAAGATGGTTTAATAAAAAACTTGTTTCTATGTAATGGGCCATCAAGTAAGTAAATGTTGTTTTCTTTGATTGAATAGATTTTATATGTTTTACAATATTGTTTTTTATGTTTTTTTACAATATCATTTTTTGTGTTATTTTTTGCATGTAAAAAAAAAAAGAGTTTTGAAAGATACATAAATAGCATACTTACACATAGTGACCTTTTCATCAATTTCTTTGTTTTAAAGCTATTGTTGAGAGAGAATTGTGAAAATGTTGTTGAGATAAAGAGTTGTGACAATGATTAAAAAAAAAAAAGAGTAGCATCCAATCTCCTAAAGACTTGTGTAGCCCCCAAGTCTTTAGGAGACAAATACAGTAATAAAAATTGATTACAAGTTATCTTTGCTTTTACATATTTGTGGGATTTCAAATTTCATATTTGTAACCTCTGAATAGCTCTGAAACTTTCAGTAAAAGCTTTATTACATTGCAAAATAAAATCAATTAAAAGCATTAATTGATTATTAGTATTGTTAAGTTAATGCAGTTTTAGTTTAAATTTTTTTTAAATATATATTTTTATAGTCAAGTGAATTTAGTTTACTTCAGTAATAGTCTGAGAGTAATAGAAAATATTTTTAAATGAATTCAATCAGCAGTGCAAATTTTTGAATTTCGAATGTTTCTTTTTTGTATGGATGTCAAACATGAGCAGCAACTTCAGTGTATGGTTGCAAAAATACTGCATATTATTATTAAATATTGTTATTAACGAATTTTATTGATATTTTTTTGACTTAAATATTACTTTTATTTTTAATATTGTAACATGCTTTTTAAATTGCGTTTCTATTTAAAATTCTCAAATCTTAAATAGAAACACCATTTTAAAACCAATCTTGAGCAGTCTTTATTTTGGATTGTATTATTTAGCTCGGTGTTCTCCTTTCATCAAACTATACTTGTTGGCTAAGCTAATGCATTATAATCTCTTAAAATGTTATTTAAAGATACCATTGCTAAGGCATGCTATCGGAAAAATCTGCCCACCTTTTGCGGTGTGGTAAAGCTAGTTAACGGTCGTTTTTTGAAATTATTTTTTTGTGTGTGGTAGTGTTTGTATAATAGAACTAGTGTTGTAAATAATTTAAAGTATTATTTAGTTTCAAAATGTCAACCGAGCAAACTAAACAAAGATTTTTGATTGTGGACAAACACTTAAAAAATCCAACTTTATTGAATAGAAAGTTGGCAAAATCATTAAAAATATCAAAAAGAACTGTAGAGACTGTTCTTAAACGGTTTACAGAACAGAAAACTATTCAGAGAAAACAAGGAAGTGGTTGAAAAAGACGCACAGCAAATCCTAGAGCTCTCGAACAGTTAGAGACTTCATTGGAAGAACATCCTGATTGGTCTGAAAGGTTTCGAGCAAAAAAACTGAAGGTTTCCAATTTTTTTGTACACAAATGGCGACAGTGACTTGGATATCAAAGTTTTAAAGTAGTTAAAATGCCAAATCGCAACGATAAACAAAATTCAACTGCAAAGAGTTGAGCTGGAAAGTTGTATGACAACTTGTTAACAAAACATAATGGATTCATTTTGATGGATGACGAAACTTATGTTAAAATGAATTTTAAACAAATTCCTGGGCAGTGCTACTATGCTTCTAAAACAAGAGGAAATGAGTTGAAAATAAGAGTGAGTGTTAAATACAAGTATGTAATGACTGATAAATTTTTGAAAAAATTGATGATTTGGGAGGCACTTTGCTCTTGCGGCAAAAAATCACCAATCCATGTTTGTTTGGGCACAATGAAATCTTCGGAATACGTGAAAGGACGTAATTACGTCCTATTGAAAAATATTGGGCTATCATAAAAAAGAAATTGAAATTAAGTGGAAAAACAGTAAAATCAGCTACAGATTTGAAGAAAAAATGGGATTATGCAGCTAATATTTACAAAAATCACTCTGTCCAGAAACTTATGGGAGGCATCAAAAAGAAAGTCAGAATTTTCTGTAAAACTTAATTTTTTTTTTTTTTCCCTATTAATATGTAATCTTTACAGTCTTAATTTTTCAGAAATATATTGATTTAAATACATTTAAGCTTTCTTACATCTTTTTTTGATCAAGAAAGGTGGGCCGATTTTTCCGATAGCAATCCTTAAGTTTGTTTAATTGCTTTAATATTGTTTGACCATTAAAACTTATTTTATTAAACAGGTAATGTTCAACTACCAAGTCCGGTCATTCTTCCTAGAGGTAATTTAGCTGTTATTTAATTTTTTTAAATGTGTTTTATTTTAGGAGCATATTTTTTATGTTAACTTATTTTTCTTAGTTATTACATTTTTTCTGATAGTAATTTATGTGTATAGCATTAAATGCAATATTTTTTAGTTCTTTTTGTTTATAGTAGTTAAGCATCAATATTTATAAAATTATATTTTATTAAAAATTGATGAAACTATGATGCATATTTTTTATTCAATTGACACTAAAAAGAAAATATCTTTATGCACTTTAGCTTAATGTACAAACGGATGCGAAAGTCAACAAGCGTACATAAATCATTAGAAGGTTTTGGTTAAAACACTAGTATTATTATCTATAATAGCAATTAAGGATGCTAACAGCGGTTAAATTTATTGCCAGATGTTGTTGCTCCGCTAATTTGCATGACAATCTGCCTGAGGGCCAACTATAAATTATTTTCTTTAACATATTTACTTATAGTTGGTTATCCCCTCAGAGGGTTGTCGGGCGTTATGACATGATTGTCTAGCTATGATGTTAAATTATTTAGTCTTGCAAAAAGTATAATTTTTTTGCTCTAAATATGTAGTTTCCATTCTAGATTTTTTGTGTAACTGCTCTGTTTTTGTGTAACTGCTCTGTATGGCGAACGGTGTTACTTTTTTTTTAGATTTTATTAACGATGCATCAGAAATGATCATTAAAAGAAATAATTTGGTTGCGACAATGGTACTTTTAAAGACACAGTTCAGTGTTTCATTTGAATTGAAACCAACTTTATATAAAACAGGATGGCATAGTGTTTTCCATATGACAATTGGACAAAATCTTGAAAACTATGGCGATAGAAATCCAGGTATATGGTTTAACAATGATGGGTCTGGAAAATTGCACGTGGCGTTCAGTATAAACGGAAACAACAATTATTTCTTCACTACAAAGTCGTCATTGCCCCTGAACGAATGGTCAAAAATAGAAATACTTCAACGACTTCAATTTTCAGTATATGTTTTTGAAGTAAGGCTTAATGAAAAGGTCGTATTTACTATCAATAATAACGATGCACGCGATTTTAAAAATGTAAAAGTTTACGTTAGTGATCCATGGTATAATGCTCAACCCGGTTTAGTGAAAAACATCAAAATTACTAACAGCATTTAAGTAGACAATCTTGCATAAAGAACTTGTAATACTGTTTTGTTTGTGTTAAAAATAATATCCAATAATTTTTTAGTAGTCTTTTTTCGTATCTAATCTAATACCATTAGTCACGGAACGGGGCTGTAATATCTATTTTTGAAATGTGTTTACATTAGTCAATGTGCACATAAAATTAAAAATTGTGTTCATTATTTATCGTAGAAATGAACAATTGTACAAAAATATACAAAAAATGTTGGTCAAATTTAAAGCACACTCACATTCATTCGTAATTTTGACAGTGTATATGATTAAATGCATTGAGGCATTGTTGTTTATGATATTTTATTTATTTACTAGCGTCATAGTTGATTATTTAAAATAGCAAATCTTATAATTTCAAAGTTTTTTCAGTAATTTTAAAAATAATACTTAGTTAATGTAATGGGTCGCAAAGCAGTGAGGTCTGAGCGGCGACAACTTGTAAAAAACTTACTTCGAAACCAATTTAATATTGCTGATATTGCTAAACGTACTAAAATTTCCAAAAAATTAAATTAAATTTACCAATGAAAAATCGAGCAGGTCAAGGACGTCGTAGATGCACTAATTCTACAGAAGACCGCTATATAGTGACACTTGTTAAAAATATCATACTAATTCATATGGAAAAATTGCTATGAAGTTGAATGGTGCAAAAGTAAAAACCATTAGCTGCAAAAGAAAAAACCATTAGAACAGTTCGTCGTCGTTTATTAGAAAAAGGGTTGAAAAGTTACACACGGAAACGACGTTGATATCGAAATAAGGCTTAGAAAAAGAAGAGACTCACTTGGTGTAAAAACTGTATTGATTGGACACAAAATTAATGGCATCATGTAATATTTAGTGACCAATCACATTTTGAAGTCATATGTAGAAAAAATCGTAAGTTTGTACGTCGTCTTCCTAATGAAAAAAATTTACCATTGAATTTTACAACAAGAGTACAAGATGGTGGTGGAACTATTTCTGTATGTTTCTCAGCAAATAGAATAGGTTTAATTGAAGTTTTACAAAGGTCGTTTGAATGCTTCTCGTTATTCAGAAGTTATTGCTGAATTACCTGACTATATGGACACTCTTTTTGATTCTGAAGCTGAAGATTGTTATTTTATGCAAGACAACGCACCGTGTCATAAAACAAAAGCGTGTTTTCACACTTACAGACCTAGTAAGTGGAAACCATGTAAAAATAACAGTAAAATTTTAATAGACCAATCAATATCAAAAGTTTTTGCAAGTGGTTTCTTTTTGAAATTAATATATAAGAAAACAAAGCGTATGTTTATTTTCATCCTACCATTTTTTTAAGTACAATCTTGAGATTATACTTTCACATTGATAACATAATATCGAATTCATATTTGCAGAAAAAATATTACAAAAATTGGACACTTCAATTATAATTGTACTTCTTAATAAAAATTAATTATTAAAAAACTAAAAATCTATATGTAAAATAATTTTTTTAAACTTTTAAAATTTTGTAAAACACCAAAATTAAAATCTCCAAAAATGATTTTAAGAAATTATAAAATATAAGTAATCTAATTTGTAAATAAAATAAAGCGAAAATTCTTCTAAGAAAATGCTGCAATAAAAATTATTTTAAATTGGTTTGTAGTTAAAGGTTTTTTTGATTTCGTTGCAGAAAAGTAAGTCGTCAAGTAAAATACCTTAAAAACAAAATTAAAAAATTACTGCTGTCCTATCAATTTATCATACATGTTCTATTTTCATTCAATTTGTAAATTCTATTTCATAAATCTACACAGACTGTAATGTTACATAGCTTGTTGAACAGCTTTAGGTATGTTGTGCATTAAATAGTTGACCTTAACTTAATCTTAAAGCAATAGAATAATTTATTCTTAAACCAATATAATTACTTAACCTTAAACCAATAGAACTATTATATACATCTACACCTTAATTTATTAAAAAAAAAAAAAAAAAAAAAGCATAACATTAAGAAAGGTGTCATCTTCTTGATATTTTTGTAACATGTAATATTTATAATAAAATAGTAAAAAATATTTTCATATTTTGAATATCTTATCTTTTTTATGAAGGTTATATGAAAATACCTTGAAATGATATAAATAAAATCCAAGTCTAAAAAAAATATAATAGTTAATTTGAACAAATATAATTTCTGAAATTGAGATATAATAAAAATGCAAAAGGATTTTTATAAATAAAATGAAACCAAAAAATATGTTGCTTGTACATTCTTTTTGATGTTTACCCGCAAATTTAGTTGTTTAATCTTGAAAACTAATTTAAATTTAGTATCTATAGATACTAATTTTGAATGAAAATTGAAATGAAAATGAAAACTGAAAAAATGAAAAATGAAAAATTGAATGAAAATGAAAACTAATTTAAATTTAGTATCTATAGATACTAAATTTAAATTAGTTTTCAAGATTAAACAACTAAATTTTTTTAATTTAATAAATAAATTATCAATAAATTTCTCCTAATATATGTATACATATATTAGGAGAAATTTATTGATAATTTATTTATATTAAATCCCTTAGTTACCAGGACTCTAAACATTTAGTTACCAGGACTCTAAATATTGAAATTAAAAAAAAAAAATTTAAATAAGTAATTTACGATGACATTAACGCTGTGTTATATTTCGATTACATCTACGCTTTTGAAACAATTAATTAGTATTCTTGAGTTTTTAGAGATAAGAAAATTCTTGAGTTTTTAGAGATAAGAAAAACTAATGTGTGAAAATAATATGTCATAGCATGTTATCTCAGTTATACTTTGAAAATCACAGATTAAAAAAAAATCTTCCAGAAATTTATTTTTTGCCGCACTATAACTAATAATTACCATAATTTACCATGTGCTTTCTTATATCTATTTAAGCTATATGATGCTTCAATCAAGTTTTAATTAACTGCTCTTCCCCTTGAATCCCCGTTCAGATTTTATATATGTTTTAACTTGGTTTCTATTGTACTGAACTTTGCATAGCAACAGCATATTTTTTACATTAACGTTGTTTTAAAAGTATTTTATCTGCGCTAAGTACACAATATTGGTAGTATGTATTAAAATGAGATTCACAATTCTTATGAGGTCAATTTTTTTTGTTGCTATGGCTATCTAATTTTGCATACCATATAAACAACATACTTCCGGTAGTTTTTCACGAATTAGTAAATTTCACGAATTATTAATCCACTCGACATATAAACTAAAAAACGGCGTGTATTTTGCTTAATTGAATTTCATTCATCCAGTGAATTATTTTTTGCTGCTAAAATTTAGAGATGAATTTATTGTTAGTGTTGCCAAGAACGTTTTAAATATTTTAAATACAGATAAAGCAATTAAATGTTCAGCAGACGAAGCGCTGACTTTAATAATCGATGTCTGACAAAAGCTTCCTATCAATTAATTAGAAGCGGAGCCTTTGGAGAAAGAATATAACCTCTTTCAATGATGTCAGAGATGCAAAATTGAAATATTATCCTTCAAATATAACAGTGAAGGACTACTCAGCTTCAGTTTCTTTAAATGATTTATTGATTCATACTTTGAAAAGAATCTGTGCAGTTCAGGAACCTATGCTGAGGCACTTGATAATAAACGAAAAAGCAATAAAAACGATGACACTCACCTGTAAGGCTGGTTTTGATGGTGCTACTAGCCAAAGTATTTATAAACAAGTTTTATCAGAACCTAACATGAACAGAGATTTAAAGTGTGAAGAATCATTATTTATTACTTGTCTAATCCCATTGGATTTGTATTTAATAACAGTAACAAAAAGGTGCCTATTTGGAGAAATCAAAAGTCGTCATCCACAGTCTATTGTAGACCCATAAGATTTGCTTACAAAACGGAGTCCAAGAAATGGCGTGCTTTTGCAGCATATTAACAAACAGTTAAAATTCTGGGTACTGATCAAAACCGTATACTCAGATTTTACATTATCTTGGTTACACTCTCTTCAGGATATGAAACAAACGCGGCGGACGAGTCCTTATATATATAAATGAAAATATTGTTTATTACGTTAGGAATAATTTAAGTGCTTCTGTTAGCGATAAAGATATTTTGACTATTGAAATTATGAACAATCAATCTAAAAACATATTATTAAGCTGTTTTTATCGCCCACCTGACGGCGTGAGTTCTCGAAGTTCTCGAACTTGGGCATTTTTTTTGAACAAAGTATTTTCAAAAAAAAAAAAAAAAAGAACTTCATTATTGGAGATCTAAATATGAATTGTTTTCTTTATAATGAAGATAACAAAATTAAAAACCTTTACGACTCCTTTTTTGAGGCGGGAGCAATTACTTTAATAAACAAGCCAACTAGAGTAACAAAAAACTCGGCGTCTTTGATTGATAATATTATTACAACAGATATATTCAACAATGATATTCAAACAGGTATCCTAAAATCTGATATAACTGACCATTTTCCAATACTTTTGACAATTAATTCTGAAATTAAAAAAAAAATTAAAAAAAATTAAACTCCGCATTTTTATCCATACAATTATAAAGTTGTTTAAAAACCAACTGTCGTTACTGCACTGGAAGCATATTAACTTCAATAACAATGCAGACAAAATTTATGATAACTTTTTTGAAATCTTTTACTCCGTTTATGATGCAAACTTTCCTATTATTGAAAATACAATAACTCCAAAAAATAAAAATAACCCTTGGATAACAAAAGAAATTAAAAAATCATCCAACTTTAAACAGAAGCTGTATATAAAAATCTTAAAACAAAATCATCAGATAATAAGAAAATATATAAAAATTACAAATATCTCTTTGAAAAAGTTCGTAAAAACTTGAAAAAAAAAAATATTACACAAGGTTCCTAGATAAATTCAAAAATAACACAAAACGCAATTGGAAAAAATAATGAACGAAATTACTGGCAGACAAAAAAAATGCTCAGGTTCTCTTCCCCAGATGGTTATAGTGGATAACAAACGCATATGCGAACCAAAGGCTATAGCTCATGAGTTTAATAAATTCTTCACTGACATCG